TTACTATAGCTCGCGCTCGTTTCCAGAATATAGGAAAGAGAACTAAAAGGGCCCCAATTAGACTTAACTTAATTGATTCCGCTATCTTCGTAAAATCCTTTAAATTAAACTTCCTATGACAATAATTCACCAGGCGCGTCAAACTGAATCCGAGTTAAGTGTATAATTTAGATAGACTTGAATTTGAATTTCTGAAACGGATTAAGTGTACGATTCTATTTAATATGACGTATTTACTGTCCAAGATAGGAGATTGTAATAAAACGTTTTTTATGACGAGCTTTTTAAAAAATATATATCTTGAATGACCGAATGATTTTAAGCATCGCGACTATTCCAGTCCATCAAAGTTTATCCCGATTTAGTGGAAAAAACCATGAAATTGAAAAGAATAATAATGTAGAGAGTTTAAAATAAGCAAACGCATTAAAAATATTCAAGTTTTTGCTAGCTTCTTCGTATTACCTAAAGGCATTTTTCGGTAGGACACTCGGTATAGTTATAACGTTTATTAAAAAACAAATAGCAAAAAGCAAACATTTGGTTTTTATTAAGTACTTGTAAAACAATAAAAGGGTGAATCTAATTTTAAGATAAAAAGTTCATATGAGTCTGAGTTTGCATTAAACTTCTTGAGATACGTGTCGCCCAAAAACCAATTTTTAACATGTAATATCTATTGATATATGTAACCCATAACCACGCAATTTTTTTTCAAAGAAACTTCCACAGGGCACTTTATTAACGCTGATATTTCGCCAATCATCCTGTTGGTTTCTTCAGAGCCGGATAGTAGCATATAAGTAAGTTATGTAATGAAAAAAGATGCATATATATCTGAGTTCACTGGATTCTTGCAGATACTTTTTAAATTGTCTAATATACGTGATAGTAAGCTAAAGACGGCTATCTATTTTGTTGAAAATTTCAACCATAGAAAATTCAAGTATTTCAAGTATTCGTTTGCGTTAAAAATAAAAAATGGATTTGTATTTTGATATCTTTACCAGCTAAGGTTTATTTTTCAAAAAATGGAATATTTTGTGTGCCTTAATTAATTTCCTCGACTTTTCAAACTTTAAAAGTGAAGCGGTGGGGAATTGAGAGATCTACGATTTTACAATTCCGAGAACCCCTCAATTATACCCGCCTGCACATTAAAACTCGCTTTCAAGAAACTCACACCGTGTATGTCATTTAGAGTTAATTTTTCAAAGAAACTTCCACATGCCACTTTAATGCTATTTACAAATCTTTTGGATTCCTCCTGCGTCGGTTTTTGCTGAGTCGAACTTGCTGACGTTTCGCCAATCATCCTGTTGACTTCTTCAGAGCTTCAATAACCGAAGCAGGAGGAATCCAGAAGATTTGTAAATGGTATTTCATTTAGAGTCCTTTTGATTTAGCTAAAAAATATCAAATTTTGAAAAAATAAAAAATGTTTCTGCCATCTGAATGAAATTTGCAAACAAAATGGAGTGTCTCTTATGTAAAGAAAGAGAGATTAACTAATTAATTAACACCAATAATAAAAAAATGATTTGTCTGAAATAACTATTGTCTGTTTTTAACTTACAACCATCTTATGGCTTCGGCCACCTCTGAGAACCATCCGCCTAAAAAGAAACAAACGAAAAGAACACCCAACACTCTCTTAGCCATAATTTCGCTAACACCATTTTGAAGAACACTCTTCCATCGGTAACTTCACGTGCATGTCCAAACGAGTCATTCCAGACTTTTTCCGATTATAACTCGATCCAGTGACGGTTTTCTTTCTTACGCGCTTCGTTATTTTCGCGGTTCCCTATTCGAACTACCTATATACACGTGACCAAAACGAATGCGGCCCTCATTGGATAGATATTCCGTTCGAAGCAGAAGCCCGTGCTGGACTGCGTGTTTCGGCGCGTCATGCAGGAAAAATCCGTCAAGTGTCGCGGTTTGTTGCAGGATAGCAAACAGGACTAAGCATAGGATTGGTTCCAATGAATTGGATTGCGCGAAGACGAAATTACATTATATCTTTTTAGGCTCGATACAATATGTGACGGAATAGTTACGGTGCAATGTATTTTGGAGAAGAAAATAGCAATGTTGAAAGGATCATTGGACTAGTCTAGATTTACGCAGTATACAGGAGACACCTTTAAAAAAAACGAAAACTTCCATTTTATTTTGGTTATTGCTTCTAATAGATGCAACATTTTTCTTTGTGGGAACAAAAAAATAAATATGGGGTTCCATAGAAACATATAATTCTTACAAAGCCCAAAAAGTAGTATTTTAGTATATCTAAAACTCTTTATTACTTTTTTATAACTTATGTGCCATTACTGATTTTTTAAATTTTAAATTTGGTAATGATTGCCCGAAAAAAAAAGGATGAAAAGAACCATACGGAAAACGCATTTGTAACTTGTCAAGAAGGAATCATTAATAATAATTAGATTATATTATACATATTATTATTAAAATTCAATTATTTATGTATTTTTATTAACAGTGTTACCAAAATTATCTAAAAAGTTTATTTATATATATTTTTCTGCTTCCCATTATAAAGTAGAGAATTAAGCACTAAGGCGTGGATAAACTATTACTTTAGTCACAGGTTGGGAGCGATCGGATGCATCCAGTCGATTAAGACACTGACGGTATTTTCACGTGTCACTCAGTGAATGGATTTGTGCCGTTTTGCAAAAATGTACGTAAAAACTAATGGCGGTAGAAAAAGCATAATATGCAACACTTTTATCAACTTCTTCAGACATTCTTTTATTAAACACTTCCTCAGCTGAGCTCCGTTCGCCGATAAATGAACTCGTGAGAAAAGTGTTGTTTATAAAACTTGTTGCATAATATACTATTACGTATAACATACAGTGGTTATAGAACAATTGGTAAACGACTTTTTAAAAGCACACGAACGTGGTTGCTACTTATAAGATAATACGGAAACATAAATAATAAAATTGATAAACTTCAGGAGGGTACGACATTTACATAAAGAAGGGAATGTTTCTTAGTAGATTCTGGGCATATCTTGAGACAATACTGAAGCCAAGAAATGGTTGAAGACGATGTTTGAAAGAACTCGCGCATGAACATCTCGTCATGACATTTGTTTCATTTTCGTTGCCTCATTACCAGCCTATTGCGAGGCCTTTATGTATCTAGTAGTTTTATGAATTCGATATATTCAATTGAGAGTTTGAGTAATTGATTTTTTTAAAAATCTTGCAAAAGTGATTTGCGTTTAAACGTAATACATTTTAAAAATATATATAAACACAATTAATATTTTAATCTGTTACAACAACTTGATTGGTATACAATTTTAATCCCATCTATATTGTACATATATCCATAAAAATTGGGGAGACCATAATTTTTATTGCAACGGTGTTCCCGGAATTCCTGTCATCTGAGGCCATCTTAAAACAAATTTTGAATACCTAAACAAAACTTTAATTGAACATTTAAATTGTAGCTATTCCTGACAATTTAAGTTTAGAAGAGAAAATCTATTTCTCATTATAGCTTTTGTGACGGCACTTCCCCTATTGTGACATGGGATTGTCCGTTCGGACAAAATCTTCATAAAATTTTAATTAACGGCGCACACAAACACAAAGCGTTTCACACCTTTTGCCGTATGTATGCAAATGTGATCGCCGCCATTTTAGAGGCCATGTGTGATAACAGTGTCGTAGTTTACAAAGTATCTATTTAACCGACATGATTCTCTGATAGTAATTTATAAAGTACTAACTTTTATTTAGCAGCATGACCAAAAGTTTACGCAGAATATCTTTGAATCACCCCACTGAGTTTGGTTCCCTAACTCTTTTGTTTTAGGTCGCTAGCAAATTCGAGCAAACGCCACAAATGTGCTACTCCACTGTGACATATGAACGTTCGTCCACAAGACGAACTTTTAACTAATTAATATTAATTTCGTCCAAGAGGTCGACACTACATTATTAGTTATAGTCTTTGAATTTACGGGTCGGCTTTGTTCTTTAGAAGCTGGCGAGTCTTTGCTGCGATTAACGTAGATATACATGGTGGGCCACACTTTTCTTGACAGAGCCAAACCCAAAACTTTAATATAATTTTTTAAACCAATGTGCCACCTCTATCACCGACCGCATCGAGAACATATTCAATTTTAGGTTAAAAAAATATTGTGCATTAAAAACGTTTATCAGAAATGCACAGTATTTAATTAATATACAGTTTTTTGTTTTCTTACAAGGTTTCTATGTTTAATCATAAATATTCGAGATTTGGTTGTAAATAAACCGAACAGAAATTCTTTACATTAATTAGCACCACATAAAAAATATTGTTTCTAAATCATGTAACATTAACCAAACATCCTTATAGACCCTAGTCTGCTGTTTTGTTTTTTTGTTTTTTCTTGTTTCTCTACTAAATATTTGACGATGTCATTGGAGAGCGTTTCAAGAGCAACTCTCACCACATACGGGGTGACTTAAAATCGACTCAAGTTGCTGTTTGATTAATTCCGATAATATTCTACCTATAAGTTAGTACTTAGGTATAGTATAACTGATAACCAATTTAAGTTCTATTCCAAATGAAAAATATTGAGCTTTCCATTTTGTTTTGCTGAAAAAAAACCGGAGGCACACAAAAATTTTCTTTTTCAATCAAAAAAATATTTTCCTCAAGCTAGCTTGGGCGTAAAACATTTACGTTGTCAATTTTCTGATTGACATAGTTCCGAAATTTATCTCTTTATTCATCGTGATGATGATTTCTATATAATAATGTGTATAGGCCCGACTTTTTAAATAAACTATTAAACAATATCTCAAACCGAAAACATCATATATCATATATATTTTGATGTAGTCCCAGCACAAAGCTTTAAAGTTTGAAGAATAAGAATGAAGGTGAGTGGCCAAATAATCCCAACAAATTGTCAGTAGACGTAAAAAAGAAGAAGAAAAAATGAATTTGAGGTTAGAATATCTCTTTTTTTTAATTATGTAAATATATTTTATAAGAGCATATTTTCACGGACCCCTAATATTTTTGAGAACTGGTACTCTGCCTTCGGTGGTTTATTAATTAATACAAAAATGTAACCATAGAAATTCTAAACCGTGGTGGTGAAAAAATGCGCATTTTAACAATTTCCGCCATAGTTTTCTTAAATTTGATAATTTTTGGCATGTGTGGATACTTATACCTTCTTTGGTGCGAGTATTGGCTAAATCTAAATAAAGCAAATTTGGGAAGTACTGTAAACTATGATGAACAAATTTACCTTTATAACCGAGGTTATCTCCCGACAGAGGGAAGTAATAAATCAAATGCTTACAATGCCACCGATGTTAAGCTGAGGACTAAACATTCAATTAAGTATGGATATGAAAATATTACTTTTGTTAAAAATGGCCGTCCTCGTCTTCCCAGCATAAGGAAAAAGCTCATTGGGCTGGATTCGAAAGAGTTTTTTTGTTTGACAAATGAGACCAACATGGACTGTAACAAAAAAACCCTAGAATTTAAGAAAAAACTGCTTGCAGAATTTAGGAATGTTTTGGAAGAGGAAAGTGATGTTTTTAAAACAAAAAAGAATCGGTACAATGTTACTTATAAAGGTGTCCAACAAGATTTTCAACAAAAAACTACTAATCAGGTGTTATGTGAATTAAGGGATGCCCAACTAAATACCCTCAAAAGATCTGATATTAAATTTCCTGACTCTGTAAAGAAATATATACCCAAACGTGGATTTTATGAAACACGTACATTTAATAGTTGTGCAGTTGTTGCTAGTTCTGGGGCATTAAAAAACTCCAATTTGGGTTCATTTATCGGTAACTATTGTTGCTGTATTATTTTTTTATTTGACATGTTATTTCTCTCTTCTAGATTCACACGATGTAGTGTTGCGTTTTAATCATGCTCCAACAAGAGGTTTTGAAAAAGATGTTGGTCAGAAAACCACAATTCGTCTGGTAAATTCGCAAGTTGTAACCCGGCCAGAGTTTAATTTTCTGGGATCTATTATTTATAAAAATATAACTCTAGTGTTGTGGGATCCTAGTAACTATTCTTCAAATCTAGAAGATTGGTTGAAACATCCCGAATTTAACCTATTTCCTAATTTTATGCAGTATAAAAAACAGGAGAGGAAAGCAAGAGCTTTCATTTTAAATCCCATTACAATATGGGACATTTGGAACTTTTTACAGAGAAATTCACCAAGCAGATTGAGAAGAAATCCTCCGTCATCTGGGTTTCTAGGTGAGCTGCTGCTATTGCTATTACATTTTTGTGTGTTATTATGGTTTATAACATTTTTTACATAATGCAATATTTTTTATTATTTCATTTTATTACATAATAACAAACCACAGAGGTTATTTTCTATTACATATTGTTAAATAAATCCTTTGTTTTTTATTATAGGATTGCGTCTTTTGCTGCCAGTTTGCAACACTGTTAATGTAATGGAATATGTGCCATCAACCAGGTTGACCAAGAGATGTCATTATTATGATCCAGATGAAAACCCAGCATGTACATTTGGTGTGTGGCACCCATTGGCAGCCGAGAAACTTCTTTCTTACTATGTAAATGTGGCTTCCGATAAAGATGCTTTCCAGAATGGCTTCATCACCATTCAAGGTTTTAGGAATCTCAACTGTTGATCTCACGTTTTAGTATAGATTAATTTATTACATAGATGTTTTCTCTGTTGAATCTGATATCTGTGTTGTTGAATAAAACTTATTTTTGGTTATGACTATCCATTGTGTCTGTTGTAGAAAACAGTAGAGTTACGTGAGAAATGTTTTACCTCTTACTTAAACTGATATTTTGTTGGTATAGATGCGGTTGCAAACACTATAGACATCGTTATCTACGTAATAAATTGTACTTTTCAACTTCATTTCTAACTGCCGGAGGTACATGTGAATGCAGTATTCCCAGTAGACGAACAAACCTGAAAAGAAGTTATGGTGAATGCGCCAGTCAATCTGCTGTTTTTATGATTTATCGATCGCAGCGCTGGCTGCATGACGTACGTACCTAAGAACTATTTTTTGTTTAATAACGTTATTATCCAATACGATGCTAATAAACAAATATTGTTAATTTATGCGTTGTTATTGAGCGGGAAAGTAACATAACTCTCTTATTTCGACAATATATATTTTTGCCATATTGTGAGTACTAAACATTTATTTTCTATATATTTTTTTAATTTGTATGCCAAACAAACTTATATTATTATTATATGTTGTACAGTGGTTTACATAAATATCCAGTAACTGCTTCATCGTGTTTGATGATCACTATTCTGTTACCGGTTATATATTCAAAAGTAGACTAACCTATCGTCATAATAGTGAGTCGTGAATATAAAATAGAGTGGAAACATTTTAAATTTAAATAATCGATTTAAAACGCTTTCACTAATAAGTATTGTTATGGTATATAAAAATTGGAAATTGGATAATTTTTTGTTTTTATTTGGGAAAAAGAACGAATATCAATTGCGAAAGGAAGATATGAGAATTTGAAAAATGAAATGGACCACGGAGGAATTATATTAGGCAAAAATATAACAACTTGGGTCGTCCACTGAATGAACAATTAGAAGCAAGTTACAATTCTGTGCTAGTTGGTGAAGATATACGAACCCTTAAAACGGTAAATCTTTTTTGGTGGACTTTACTGATATCTATGAACAGACGTCTTTTAAAAATGTACGTATTAAAAATGGACACTGTGTGGATGTCCATTAATAAGACATCTATAATTGATCCATGTGTACTCAAAATGGATCTAAAATGGACGTGTATTGGACGACCGCTGATATCTGGGTTTTTATTGCCATACTTTTGTCAAACACAAACACATACTTCAAAATATTTTTAAATTTTATATTTATGTTTTTTTTATTTAGTATATTTATTTTATTTAGCATAATATGTGATATTATTGTAAGGATATTGTTTCATTTTCACGTGAGTTCCATATGTGCACATTAATTTTTATTCATTAGATGTTTTTAATAGTAATATTTTGTTCCTTTTGGATATGTATAATATTTAAGTAGTGAACTTTCTATTTAATAGAGAATTAGGGAATTACAATAAAAATTAAATTAAGGTACTCACCAGTCCAACATATAAATCCCCAATATAGTATATGGGATCGAACGTAAATTGTTGCAAATGTAAGCAAACTTATTTGGATTGATAAATGCAAGAACTCGTATGCCAAAATCAGTACTCGTACTTCCTAAAACCATATCAATATTAAGAAAAAATCTTTAGCTGTGTTTTTGGAGCCGACTCACCCATACTATTGCTGACGTTAATATTGCGCTTGCAATTAAATGAAAAATACATACTGTCAAGAATTCTTCGTCAGATTTTTCTGATTTTAAATACAGTTTTACCATATAATATATCGTACCAATTACACCTATGACCTACAATTATATAGGTCAAAATTTTTAGGGGGGCAATTTGCTCCGAAACACCGCTACGCAATTCCTGTCAAGTAGTTAACCTACCAAGCATAAGTACGCCATCAATATCGCCGCAAATCTATATTTAAAACACCCACAGAATTTTTGAAACATGTTTTTGCTATTCCACAATTGCAGTTGTCTTCAGCTGATCTCCGAATTATTTCAATTTCCATTATAATCTAACGCCGACCGCTTCGTACATGACTGACGCAACATTAACGGAACACAAAATTACAACTTATTTTTAGGTTTTATTTGTTTAAAATCGCGAACAAGATAGCACTGTTAAATTTATTTTAATATACCGATGATGGATGAGCAGCATTTGGCGCTATGTTCGGCGGTATGTAATAAAAAAAATATAACACGGATGACAAAATTTGACCAAAACTTACTGCTTTGCACGATCAACGATATGTCATCAAGTTTAGTACTTTGAAAAAGTGAAATAATGGAAAAATGAGTTTGCAGAAGGTAAAAAATATTTGGGCTTCATGTAAAATAGCCTATTAATTCTGCTTGGTTATTTTAATTGTATGTAATTGACAAGATAGCTAAAAAAACTAACCAAAACTTCTTTAGTTCAATTACAAACATCTTAAAATAAATCCATGGTAAGAACCTATAAATAGTATGTTCCAGTCATTCAATTGGCTTAACGTAAAAGAACCTTTCTAATATAAACTATTGATATTCATCTGAAGGTGGAATATGGTATTCAGCCTTCTTATTACAGGAATTCCTAAAAAGGAATAAGGAAATCCACAGTTTAGTTTTAGTTGATTTGATAAATGAGTGCCAATGTACAGCCTGCTCTCTAGTGAAGTTGGAAATGTTTCCTTAACTAAAACACGGAATATATGATTAAAGATAAGTAGCTAATACATATAGTGCAAGGCATATTAGACTGTGCTGTGTACTGTAACTGTGTTTTGTATTAAAATAAATAAACGCTGGTGTAACTACCATTGCAAGAGATCCCTGCACTCAATGTGCATTAATTTTAATAAAATTTAGATCTTCTAATTGACTAGTTCATTCCTGTTATGCTTGTATTTTATGTTTTCATACGGTGAACATAATTCTATTATCTCTGTTAATGTGCATATTCTTACGAAAGTAGAGGTAGCTTTTACTTGAAAATCCATTTAACAAAATAAATAAGAACTAAATGTTCAGATTTTTCAAATTTATAGGCAACAAATATATGGAATTCCATATCTTCAAAAAAGAAAACAGCAAGAAATAAGCAATTTTTTAATTTGATGCATGATTTTTTCTTACACTTCGTTAAATTCCATTTTCTGGGCGAGTGAACCAATCGTGTGCGAGTACTCATTACCAATGCCGTCTAAAAAGTGAAAGGTAAGTCACCCCTTAAAAAATGCAAGAATTTCTTTTATAACCTACGCGTTCGTCCTGTGCATTTTTTTTGTTATTATTTTGATATTTCGTTTCCTTTCAGGTGCGGGTCGTTGCTGCGTTTTGAATTTTAACTCGGAATGAATCTATAGGATATTATATGCGCCATGCCCAAAATGTATGTATACTATTTACACATTGCCGTACGGCGAACATTTTTCTAGGGTTCACGTCTTACGACCACAAATAAAAGTTTCGGTTGTTGTCTGATCAGCATGATGGCATATCTACAATTTCTCAAAAAATTCAAGTAACTTTAGAAAATGATTCAATTTCACACCATCCAATCCTTAGTACTTGTTCTATAAAAATAACATATTCTGACCAATCAAAAAAGAGTTGACGAAGTCTGTTGACTATTAATTAAATTCTTAGGACCACACATTTTTCAGTTTTATAGACTTTTTACTGTTGTTCAGATAAATAGTAGGAGTCCAAAAATTATTGGTTACTGCATACTAAGGATGTTAAATTTAAAGTGTTACAAGAAATTTGTTTTTTTTGTCTATGATGTAAAAACAGGAAAAAAAAAACAATATTTTAATAACTCTGTAGTTCGCTATAATCATCCTTTTAGTGGCTGTCATTTTTGCTTTGAATCAAAAGATATACTAAGGTAACTTATATTAACTTACTAGCTGATAAGTGCATTCTGCTAAGTCAATTTAGGTGAAAGCTCTAAAACAGCGTTGTTTTACCTTCGCTGACCTATAGTATAGGACTCTATGGGTTAAGGTTAGATATTGTTGGGGAGATGGTACAACTTAGATTTTTCAGGAAGATGTTTGTGTTCTTTATTTTTTAAAAAAGTACAAAACTACACCAGAGTAGTTTGGCTTTATCTTGACCGCTCCGTGGCTACTAACAGCCTGACTAAATTGTTTTTCCTGCGTTTCTCAACATTTGTACTTGATTCCAAACTTTTCCAAAATATCTATTAGATAAAGCATGGTTCATAATAACGACATTAATAGAACAGCTCAGAATACTTACCAAAAAATATTTATTATTTAGCTGTTGAAATATGCTTTATTTCTAATAGACTGAAAAGGAAGATGTAATGAGCATATGTCATCCTTAGATACAATAAATAATAATGACTGGTTACTGATCTAACAAATTTTTATAACAAATAAAGTCAAGTGGTATTTTAATTTTAATTAGTATTTATTACGGAAATCACCTGTGTCAATCGTTCATGTCTAGTAAATCTAGCATTACTTCTGGGCAGGAGCCTATTCTAATAAAAACACTTAGAGTTATTAAAGATTTATTTCAAAACACTAAACAGTTTTCTCAGTGTGTAGTTGGGACACTAGCTGCAACCTACAGATTTAGTTTCCGTCCTTAAAAATAATAATTGAAAATCCGTCATTTATCTATTACTTAATTAATCGATATTGTTGCAGAATTTTTCTAAATTCCTTCTCAACATTACAAAAAAATGTAATGAAAATTCTCGAGAACTTTACAAGCTCCCTGCAGAAATTAAAATTTCAATTGACATGACGCATATCCGATGTTTATCACGCGCAGTTCACAGTAACTCCAACAATAACCCGAAATTTGGAAATACACCATTGGCAGATAACATCTGCTGTGAAACATGACTTGGCGAGAAGCAGACTATGCCAGTCTGTATAACCAAGATTCCCTAAAATCCCAATACCACAGCGATCTGAATCATTGGTTCAGTTTTCCAGATGCCTTCAAGTATATATCTACTTGGGCCCACGTGCCAAAACGCGTACCGGAGTAAATGCATTTCACTTATCAGACGAACATCAGCATATCGCTTGAATTTCAATCAATCCGTTTCAAAGAATACATTTTCGCTGAGTCGATTCTTCAACCTCGGGTACCATTAACTTTGAACAACGATCTTCGTTTATGCCAATAACGAATGCAGATTTTATCGAGTGTTTTTGAAATAGTCCGGTCGGAATGCAGCAAAACAGACGTTAGTTTTGCTCCGACATGTTTCCATGTTGTGTGGGAGATACGTAGTTTGAAAATCTGTGACCCTTAAATAGTACTTAATAGTACTTCAAGTTTTCGATATAAATGGAGCGTCATTTGTGAACAAAAATGTCATAAAAAAGGTATATAACTAACTTCTTAAGTGGGTGGAAGAAAGAATCAAAACTAAAATTTTTTGTCTTCCAAATGTTGACGTTTCCGTTTCGTATTTTATTAAGAGGTTGTTCCAGGCGTTACACTGGTTTTTGAAATGCGCCTTTGAAAAGAATCGACTTTAAAGAATTGAAACAAAATTACTGAACTTAATAATGTCCATAACTTTCTGCAAAATAAGAACAAAAAAATATATCTATATTAAATGGCTCCAGAAAGAATTTCCGAATTAATAACAGAATCAAAGACGAAAACGAAGAAGATCAAAATACTCGTGGATACAAGGGATCTCCAAGTGGATGTGACAATGCATTCTCAAGATTCTCAAGAGTAGAATGACCGAGATGGATGAAGAATGGGAACCAGAAGGGGCACAAGAATGTCATAAAGTGTCTTGCATAAGTTGTTCAATCCAAAGCTGTCGATCTATTTCCTTAAATTAATTATGAGTCAATTTGATCGATAGTCGGAAAAATCAAACCCAGTCGCACCACACACGCGGATGACATTGATTTAAAATTCATCAAAAACGAAGGCCGTTTCCGACCTTTCTTCGTCGGCGCGCAAATAGTGTTGCATATTTAGGTTTTTTGTATTCAAATCGTCGCAAAGGGAAAAATACGACCGTTTTGTGGTTTATTGTGGCAGAGAGATAAGGAAACAAACGAGAATTGCTTGGTTTGAATCACCCTCCGGAAAAAAATTGTCGGAACAACGATGTGGTTCACGAAGGTGTGACAATGTCTGCATTGTGTCTAGATACGAACAAACGATATACGAGGGCTTGTGGGTTTCATCGACTAACCAATTTTCGGCCTTTGAGATCGGAAACGATTCGACATGCGATTTCAATATATAGATAGATTGGTAGATAGATAAATATTTAGTTCCAAAGACTACAAAAAAGCTGGACAGAAACAAGTTACAAAAAAGAAATATAAGGAAGTATTTCAAGAATTATTGTACGAAATAAAATTAATTAATATGAAGCACGCATTTTTTTTTGCGGACAGCTTGGAATGATTGTAGTCTTTTTTTTTTCATTCAAGAGCATTGTTTAGAGTCTAAGGCAAAAAAACAATATATAATCGATTAGTAGCAAGTACCTTCGCGTCAGATATTGGTAGCAGAGTGAGGTCAGCAGTCACATGTACCTGGGAACTAATATCAATAACCAATGGAACCACTGAATTGAGATAAAGCATAAAATACAAAAAGCTAGAGCAGCCTTCAGCGTAGAACCTGATGACTAAGATCAAAGTGTTGTGTTACAGACGAATATTAAGAACAACGAGGTACCAGATAGTATGCAGAAGAGATGTGCAATTGCTGACGCATTGGAATGGAAATTTGCAGAATAAATCAGTCTCCGCTTTACCATCCTTTATAATAAAAATTATGTATAAGGTTGTTCGGAAAGTCATTTCGTTTTTTCCCGTCAGAGGACTTAATTACGTTTTTTCGAAACCAACTTCACACTTAAGCCGCATAACCATTATATGTCTTGAGAGCTGATATTGCAAGGCTTGTGTGTGAAAAAGTTCTATTAATTCTACGCTGTAGTTTTTGGTTGGTGCCCTTTTAAATATGGAGAGCAATAAGCAGCATTTTCGTCATATTTTACTTTTTTACTTCAGAAAAGGTAAAAATGCTGTCCA